GTGTGTGTGTGTGTGTGTGTGTGTGTGTGTGTGTGTGTGTGTGTGTGTGTGTGCCCCTCTGTGTGTGTGTGTGTGTGCCCCTCTGTGTGTGTGTGTGTGTGCCCCTCTCTCTCTCTCTCTCTCTCTCTCTCTCTCTCTCTCTCTCTCTCTCTCTCTCTCTCTGTGTGCCCGTGTCTCTGTGTGTGTGTGTGTGTGTGTGTGTGTGTGTGTGTGTGTGTGTGTGTGTGTGTGTGTGTGCCCGCCCCCTCTCACAGACCCACAACCCACACACACAGATTGGCAATTCCAGTAGTCTGATAGGGAGGAGGCCGTCAACTCACGGATGGAGGGTGGGTGAGGAATTCTACCAGAGCACAGTGAGAGTGAAAGAAGAGGAGGGGGGGGGGGGGAACAAAAACAAGAGAACAAAAAAGGAAAAGAAAGAAAGAAGTGAGGGGAGAGGCGGGGCGGCGCAGGTATAGAGAGAGGGATTACGAGGGTTCACGGATCTCGCAGTGGGAGAGAGTCGACTATCCCTTCAGGAGGGAAAATGTGGACATCAATGTGCGTAGAGCACTGATTTCTTTCTCCACTGTCCTGTCGATGAATCTTCCCCTGTTAGGCAATAACGATTCATCGTTAGATAATTGAATAGTCTTTCCTACGGTCGAGGTTGATTTTCGTCCTACGCTCGCGGAATCTTTCCGCCCATTTCCCCCCCCCGTCCCTTTCCACTCTACGACATGCCAATCAGCGGAAACGCCCTCGAGTCCCGCCCCGCCCGCCCCCCCCTCCAAGAAAGCGACCCGCTGGTCTTCCTCGCGCAATTCAAGCGGAAGAGACCCAAGAGAAGCACGGAGAAGACAACAGTAAGAGAGAACGAGAAGAGAGAACAGGAAGAGAGGAGGACATCTGCAAAAGAGACTCGGCGCGCACGGAAGAGTTGCACTCCGACGAGAGCGCGGGGAAGATACGTACGGGGGGGAAGCCCGCGCGCGCGCTTCTCATCGGGACTACCTACGTAGAATAACGACACGTGGCGGAGACGTATGACATGCATGCGCAAAAGAAAGGGAAAACGGAGAGAGAAGAGAGCGAAGAGGACGAAATGAAATGTGCTTTCCGCCGACGAACTTTAAAAAAGAATAATTAAAAAAAAAAAAAAAAAAAAAACAAGCGTCAACCAGTGGCCAAAATAATAATTCCCATGCACGAGTCTCAGAAAGCAAAAGCAAATGGAAACGAAGAAAGGCGGCACGTGGAAGAGCGGACGTGGAAGAGCGGACGTGAAAGCCCACGTGTGATTAGCAATTACTTACTTAATTAACTATTTTTAACTATTTATTTATAAAAATTAATGAATTTATGTATAAACATTAATGAATTTATTTATAAAAATTAATGAATTTATGTATAAACATTAATGAACTTATTTATAAAAATTAATGAATGAAGAGGAATAAACCAAGAACGCAAACGACTTCCGGAGCGAAGAAACAGAGAGAAAGTCGTTGACTGTTGATTAATAAAAATTAATGAATGAGATGAAGGAATAAATCAAGAACGAGAAACAGGGATAGTAGGAAAAAAAAAAAAAAAAAGGGATAGTAGCGGCTCCACATCAGACCAGATACATCACAACTATATTGAGAGAGAGAGAGAGTTTGATCCTTGGAAATCAGAGCTTACACGAGGAGAGAGAGCTTGCATGGTCGTGGCTATGGCCGCAACAACCGTGGCTATGGCGGCAACAACCTGACGCCTTCGTCATCTCCGCCACTGCGCTTACAAGGACCAATAACGTCTCGTCCACAAGTAATTCGTCCGTCCTCCTGATCCTTTCGATGTCGGGAGAACTGAGATTGTCCGATACCGGCTAATGGAAAAGCCATAGGCATCGCCCTCCTTCTCCAAAAGTTCCGCAGAGAATCTAACACCCCCCCCTCCCCCCCTCCTCTTGCCGCCAATCTCTCCTCCTACGGTAGTCAACAAATCCCTCGTTCGCCCCTTACCTACTCCTTCGATCACCCCTCATAGCTTCCGTCACAATCTTCTGCCACGTGTCATGCCCGTAGCCAATCAGGGAACAAAGCACAGACTGGAACCCTGATACGGGCCATCACACATTCCGTCCAGCACGGAGCACTTCTTGACAATAATCCCTGCTGATCTCATTCCTAAGCACCCCGCTCTTCCACCTCTTTCCCCCCCAGGTTCTCTCTCTCTCTCTCTCTCTCTCGCTCGCTCGCTCGCTCGCTCGCTCTCTCTTTTGTGAATGCTTTCGCGCGCGCGCGGGTGTGCGATTATCATCTATTTATCGCACAAATGGAGGGGAGGCAAAGAGCGGTGAACGTCCATTTCCTCCTTGTAAAAGCATATAAGGTGGTGCTCACGGCGGGCTGTACTGTTTTTCGCACGCTACACTACTGTATTCACATCCTCCTTCGGGCAGAGAGGAGCGTTCGAGCGTTCTCACGTTCGTCTCTCTGACACTACTACGCAGCATGGCCGTCATTTGGCCGTCATTCCCTCTCCTGGGAAGGTCTCCCCGATGAACGGATGGGTTCTCTGCCGCAAGGGCCCTACATTTCCCCAACCACACACACACATATCATGATGCTGCTCTGCAGCTATGGCAATGGCAATCAATCAACGACACACGGATTCACGCGGAGCGCCGCGGTGCGGCAGGTTGAAGAGCAAAAGAGTCGTAAAGGGAGGGAAGTGTTTTGCAAAGCAGGGGCAGTCTCGGGCTGTTGTTGCTTCCTCTAGGATTGGTTGGCTGTCCGGGTCCTACAATGTAGGTCCCACTTACACGAGTTAAGAGATATGGACCGTAGATAGCACATATCAACGGTCAGAATGTCGTAATCCGTGCAATTGAGGTGGGACCTTGCCCCGGTTTACCGTCTTCTGGACCGTCCTGTCCGTCGATTGGCCGTCATAGAGACAAACCTCTGTTTGCCTATCTGTCCTCCTGTGATTCGCTTTCGTGCGCTTCTGCCACCGCGCACTGTGCCCGCAGGAATGGGCCCCGCCACACCACTCACGAAATGTGAGAAAGACAAAAATGTGGCGGGCGCATCTGGCCATGTTGTAGCGGGAAGTTCATTCTCATTTTGCACATTTCGAGAGTGGTGTGGCCATGCCCAATACCACCGGCGGCAAGTTCGTATCGTCCAGAGAAAGGACGACGGGGCGGCGTAGCACGACGTCCAGACGGCGCGCGGGAGAGAGAGAGAGAGAGAGAGAGAGGGGGGGGAGAGAGAGAGAGAG